TTTGTGAAAAATTAATTATCCATCCACCAAATTTATTTATTCTGAATTCACCAAAATAAGCCTCTTCCCATGAGAAACTCCAGAAAAAAAAATTCATTCGAGCAAATTCAGACTAAACAAATAAAAACCAAAAACAAATTAGTAGAAAGGGATTGGATAGTGCTCAGTGGAAGGAGAAGTCGTTTATAGAATGGGGCTCACGGAGATACATCTTCCACTGCCCTATAAAACACCAAATGGTGTCTCATCTCATCATAGCATTCCAACACATCCCTCTTCTCAAATTTGTCAAAAACACTTTGTCAAATCAATAACAAACAAAAATATATTAAAAAAAAAACGACAGAATAATAATAATAACAATAAAGGCTTCAGTGTGTGTAACAATCAGATCATTGATAAAAATTATCTCACTGAAATCCGCTAAGATAATTTGAATTTTCATCATAAGCCCCCACAATTGATCTTAAAAAAAAAAAAAAAATTTGACCATGAAATTAAATGAAAAACATTTTATGCGAATACAAGTATAAAAGATTGTTTTTTAGTTTTTCTGATTTTGAAAGCATTCATGTCTAATTCAATTGGAAACAGAGTACCAGTTTCAATACATAACAAAGAAAATAAAATTGGGGACAAGTGTGCTCAGACAGCCAAGGGTTAGTCGTCAGATTCTGGGATCCAAACCCAGATCAGAAACTCTAGTCCACAAAATATACTCATCACCGCACACACACCACCATTGAACAAAAACAACACACAAGAACAAACATATAAACACAAGAGATAGCAAAGAAGAGAAGATTAACCAGAAAGGCGCAGCAGCTACGGAAAAGAGATTGATAGGAAAAGAAAGGTTAGGAGGCGTGATATATATAGAGGCCTTTGCTATGCGTATGTAAATTAGGGTTTCCGAGTCTGGCTAGGGTTTGAGCCGACTAATTGAGAGCGGGGGGAGAGAACATATTTCATTACGGAAGTTGAAAGGCTGTATATGACGTGGGCTGGATGGAGTTTGGGCTAAAAGATTGATAACATGGGCCAATCTTGAGATGGATTGGAACACGTAAAACTTCTGAGTGGCCCCCTAGCCCACTGCATCTGTGGAAAAGTTACCTGAAACCCAAGTGCAAGAAATATAAATACTTGGAAAGTATATTAAACTTCTGTTAATACTAAAATATTGAAAAATGTTTTACTTACACAATTTTTTATTTTTATTTTTTTTTATTTACAAATCTCACAGAATGACATGACAAGAAAAAGACAAATTAATGTCTCATGGTTATACACTCATTTCTTCTCTCAAAATCTTTCAGTCAACCTTGTAACCTCATTAAGAGAGATTTGTAAGAGAAAAAGCATGTAGATGCAACATTGCTATAAAATATTATTTATAACGTATTATATTATATTAGTTTTATTTTTTTATTTTTATACTTACAAAATTATAGGAATTTGTAGTGTCTTGCTACTAATATGATGTGGGATGGGATGGGAACGACACACTGCAAGCTCATTTTGTTGCCGTTTTTAATTGATCAGCCAAAAAGAATTTTATTGATAATTAAAAGAAGTCCACCAATAATACATCAATAAAAAAAGGCAAGTGTAAAAAGTATCATAGCTAAGCATACTCATTCTAACTAAGTTGGCACCAATATGAAAACCCAATCATATGCTAGCATTAAGCCAAGTTTGGTGAGAGACCAAACAGAGACTAGGGGGAAGGAAAAAAAACAACCCAACCAAAAACACACCCAAACTCAACCCACCAAGAACAAATCACCAAAAATTCATAACATCATCACTTCTAAATGTACAATGACAAATGAGCAAAGTGTTGAGATGTCTCCGCACTGGTACCCAAACCCAAAAGCAAAGGGAAGAACAACCAGCAACACAAACCAACAATACTAACCAGCAAAAAAGAGCACTGTAAACACATATCTCACACTCTTCAACACCACTTCAGAAGCAACTACGAATCAGGCCCAAATTGGAGATGAAATACTAACAACTTAATATGTGCCTTTAACGCTTGTTTGTTTGAACAAAAAAATTTTAAAAAAAATATATTTTTTAGAGAAAGTATTTCTTTATGTTTGGTGGTGGTGTTGGTGGAACGAATGTGGAGATAGAGGTGGTAGTATGGTGGTGGGGCAATGGTAAAGGTGGTGATGGGTGTGATGATGGTGGTATAGTGGTGGAGGTAAGAGTAGTAAAAGGTGTGCACGGTGCGATTCAGGCAGTTTGAGAGAAAAATTATAAATTGAACGGCAGATTGACAGGTTGGCAAATCGTGGTTTGGATAGTTTTCGACGGATTGGCGAATTAAAGGATATTTCAATCAATTACCAAGTATTTGCATAATATATAATACGTATTTGCATAATATTTTTCATATATATAATACAAACTAGTTTTGCATAATATTTTATATATATGTTTATATAACTATTAATTTGTAATAAATTTTGCATCTTAAATATTTCTCACACTTATTTTTACTTTGATATTTCATTAGAAATTAAAAAATATATATGTATTAACTATAGCGAAACAGAGCAGTTTCGAAGGCGAATTAAAAATTTTAAAGTTTAATCCACAAGTAGTGGATAGAGTGATGTGGATTGATATGGATTGGTGACATTTTAGTGGATTGGATAATATTTTGTACAATCTTAAGAGTAGTGGTGGTGGTGTAGTGACATTGCTAAAAATTTTGTTAGAAAAATATTTTTAGCCTTTTAAAAGTAAAAAGCATTTTTTGTCCAAATAGAATTGTTTTCCATTGACCATAAAAAATGTTTTCTATTAACTTTCGTTTTGTACTAAAATATTAAAAAAAAATGCTAGGAATCTGTTGACACTATATTTTATTTTTTTTTGTCAACTGTAACTTGTCAAAATAAACCAAATCTGATTTTGTTAATGATGACCTATCAATTATAGTCTATCGATTAAGACTATGCACCATATTTTAAAAGTGACTATGGCCGCATCTATTATTATTATTTTTCGTTTGATGCAAGATCAAGGTAGACTATGCACCATATTTCAAAAGTGACTATGGCCGCATCTATTATTATTAGTTTTCGTTTTAAGTGGGAAATCAACAAATTATCAACACGTAACGTGAGTTAGAATAGATCTATGGGAGTAGTTTATTATCATAGGAGTAGTTTTAATTTAGTGATTCCGTAATGATTTTTTTGTTTGTAATCAATAATTTTTTTTGATTTTTTATATTTTTGTTTTTATTTAAATCTTTGCAATAAGCAATAATTTTAGCAATATAATATTATTTTTAGTTTGTTTCTCTTTGTTGATAACTTTTAAAGAAGTTCTTAAATCTAGTAAGGCATAGGATACAAATCACAATTGCTTGATCGGTTTATTGTTTGTAAAATTAGTTTTTCTGGATTCAACCCTGCCGATTTGGCCCAATTCAGGTTTTTGCTAACAGGACCCCTAACATATTTACTAAGGCAGCGTTTGGTAACGTTTACGTTTTCAGTTTATATTTACAAAAATTTTATAAACTGGTTTTTGTTTATTTTTTGTATACTTTTAGAAAAACATAAACTACAAACGCGTTTGGTAATTGACAAAATGTTTAAAAAAATTTAAAAATATAAAAAAAAGTGAGAAATGGCAAGTGGTGGCAAGTGGCGGCGGAAGACGGTGGTGGAAAGTGGTAACTGTAACACCCTGTCCCACATCGGAAGTTTGCATGGGTGATCTTGGGCATATATATCACCACTACCTTGCTACTAAATAACTTGGACTTAAGCTTTTGGGTATTGTTGGTCGACCCACAAGTTATTTGGGCCAGCAAGTAGTGGGGCGTTACAGATAAACCATCCAAGGAGGCAGAGTTGTTGGGGTTGTTGATGGAGTTTAGGGAGGTGTTGCCATATCAGTCTTTCTTGTTTGGTGGTAGGTTATAGCCTGCAGCTATTGATTTGGAAATTGAAGAAAAAGAAAATTAATCTATCTGTGTTTGCAATCATCTGCTCTTAAATTTCCCGAGGTTGGTGAGATACGTCCTCCTGCAGGGAAGTTTGGAAGAAGATTTTTTTTCGCAGATAGAGGAGTGACACATTTGGAAGAATTGATGAGTACCTTTTTTGGGCAGTGGTGTCATGTGTCCCTTTTCTAGGCTTTGGGGTTGATCATTTGAATCTCTTTCTTTTGGTCCTTAAAAATTCTTCATTATAATTAAATTGCAATCTTGAGTAGCATGTGAATTTGCAGAGATTAATCCAATATCCTCAGGTTTCTGGCCTTAAACCTGATTTACATTTTAGTGGAAAAGAGAGCATCACTGTATACTCATGTGATTGTAGCATTGAGGCTCTTTAAAGGCTGAAGAAGTGATAGATGCAGCTGATTTTGTCTCAGGAAAACACTGTTATCATCCATTCCCTTGTGATTTTTCTATTAAACCCTGGCTTGGTTAGCAATCTCTGTTTATTTGCACACACCCATTTCTCTAATTCAGGTGAACCAAAGTTCCCAATTTCATTTCTCTAATTCAGGAGAAGCACATGCACTCCAGCCAGTGTTATAGACATAATCCTCTTGTCCTGCAAGAGGCTTCTCAGTCAGGTTGTCAAGGGATTGTCACCACCACCGTCCCTTTCTCTCGAAGCAAATCATAAATTTGAGTACATTTTTTTAAAATGTAATAAAATAATTAATGTATATTTTTATATTAGACGATCACAAAAATATTTCTTTACGGTAGATTTTTATATTTTACTTTTATATTGGGTTTGTTAAAAAAATCTCCAATAGATTGTCTAAAAATATTAGAATGGTAGCCAAATCTATTTACAAATTATAACTCCCAAATATTTTGTCAAATTTAAATTAATTTACCTTTAAACCAATTTATATTAGTAGTATTATTTTTTTGTCAAATATTTTTTGGAAGAGATTAGGGTTCTGAAATCAAATTTCACTCTGATTGATATGACAAGTAAAATGAGAATAATTGTATGTGGTGTTTCCGGGATTAAATGGTACTGAAAACAACCACCAATCAGGATGGCCACAAAAACTCGATATAGCGCCCTAGCCATTACACCTAGAGGAACCTATTTTATCCCCAAGAATTGGTAATGGGCGCAATCTATACTATCGTCAAAAATATAACAAAAAGTGAAAACAAATTTGTGAAAAATTAATTATCCATCCACCAAATTTATTTATTCTGAATTCACCAAAATAAGCCTCTTCCCATGAGAAACTCCAGAAAAAAAAATTCATTCGAGCAAATTCAGACTAAACAAATAAAAACCAAAAACAAATTAGTAGAAAGGGATTGGATAGTGCTCAGTGGAAGGAGAAGTCGTTTATAGAATGGGGCTCACGGAGATACATCTTCCACTGCCCTATAAAACACCAAATGGTGTCTCATCTCATCATAGCATTCCAACACATCCCTCTTCTCAAATTTGTCAAAAACACTTTGTCAAATCAATAACAAACAAAAATATATTAAAAAAAAAACGACAGAATAATAATAATAACAATAAAGGCTTCAGTGTGTGTAACAATCAGATCATTGATAAAAATTATCTCACTGAAATCCGCTAAGATAATTTGAATTTTCATCATAAGCCCCCACAAATTGATCTTAAAAAAAACAAAAAGATTTGTCCATGAAATTAAATAAATAACATTTTATGCGAATACAAGTATAAAAGATTGTTTTTTAGTTTTTCTGATTTTGAAACCATTCGTGTCTAATTCAATTGGAAACAGAGTACCAGTTTCAATACATAACAAAGAAAATAAAATTGGGGAGAAGTGTGCTCAGACAGCCAAGGGTTAGTCGTCAGATTCTGGGATCCAAACCCAGATCAGAAACTCTAGTCCACAAAATATACTCATCACCGCACACACACCACCATTGAACAAAAACAACACACAAGAACAAACATATAAACACACAACAGATAGCAAAGAAGAGAAGATTAACCAGAAAGGCGCAGCAGCTACGGAAGAGAGATTGATAGGAAAAGAAAGGTTAGGAGGCTTGATATATATAGAGGCCTTTGCTATGCGTATGTAAATTAGGGTTTCCGAATCTGGCTAGGGTTTGAGCCGACTAATTGAGAGCGGAGGGAGAGAACATATTTCATTACGGAAGTTGAAAGGCTGCATATGACGTGGGCTGGATGGAGTTTGGGCTAAAAGATTGATCACATGGGCCAAGCTCGAGATGGAATGGAATACGTAAAACTTCTGAGTGGCCCCCTAGCCCACTGCATCTGTGGAAAAGTTACCTGAAACCCAAGTGCAAGAAATATATAAATACTTGGAAAGTATATTAAACTTCTGTTAATACTAAAATATTGAAAAATGTTTCACATACACAATTTTTTTTTTTTTTTTTGTTTTATATACAAATCTCACCGAATGACGTGACAAGAAAAAGACAAATTAATGTCTCATGGTTATACACTCCTTTCTTCTCTCAAAATCTTTCAGTCAATCTTGTAACGTCATTAAGAGAGATTTGTGAGAGAAAAAGTATGTAGATGCAACATTGCTACAAAATATTATTTATAACATATTATATTATATTAGTTTTATTTTTTTATTTTTATACTTACAAAATTATAGGAATTTAGTGTGTCTTGCTACTAATATGATGTGGGATGGGATGGGAACGACACACTGCAAGCTCATTTTGTTGCCGTTTTTAATTGATCAGCAAAAAAGAATTTTATTGACAATTAAAAGAAGTCCACCAATAATATATCAATAAAAAAAGATAAGTGTAAAAAGTATCATAGCTAAACATACTCATTCTAACTAAGTTGACACAAATATGAAAACCCAATCATATGCTAGCATAAAGCCAAGTTTGGTGAGAGACCAAACAGAGACTAGGGGGAAGGAAAAAAAACAACCCAACCAAAAACACACCCAAACTCAACTCATCAAGAACAAATCACCAAAAATTCAGAACATCATCACTTCTAAATGTACAATGACAAATGAGCAAAGTGTTGAGATGTCTCCGCACTGGTACCCAAACCCAAAAGCAAAGGGAAGAACAACCAGCAACACATACCAACAATACTAACCAGCAAAAAAGAGCACTGTAAACACATATCTCACACTCTTCAACACCACTTCAGAAGCAACTACGAATCAGGCCCAAATTGGAGATGAAATACTAACAACTTAATAAGTACCTTTAACGCTTGTTTGTTTGAACAAAAAAATTTAAAAAAAATATATTTTTTAGAGAAAATATTTCTTTATGTTTGGTGGTGGTGCTGGTGGAACGAATGTGGAGATAGAGGTGGTAGTATGGTGGTGGGGCGATGGTGAAGGTGGTGATGGCTGTGATGATGGTGGTATAGTGGTGGAGGTAAGAGTAGTAAAAGGTGTGCACGGTGCGATTCAGGCAGTTTGAGAGAAAAATTATAAATTGAACGGTAGATTGACGGGTTGACAAATCGTGGTTTGGACAGTTTTCGACGGATTAGCGAATTAAAGAATATTTCAATCAATTATCAAGTATTTGCATAATATATAATACGTATTTGCATAATATTTTATATATATGTATATATAACTATTAATTTGTAATAAATTTTACATCTTAAATATTTCTCACACTTATTTTTACTTCAATATTTCATTAGAAGTTAAAAAATATATATGTATTAACTATAGCGAAGCAGAGCAGTTTCGAAAGCGAATTAAAAATTTTAAAGTTTAATCCACAAGTAGTGGATTGATATGGATTGGTGATATTTTAGTGGATTGGATAGTATTTTGTACAATCTTAAGAGTAGTGGTGGTGGTGTAGCGACATTGCTAAAAATTTTGTTAGAAAAATAATTTTAGCCTTTTAAAAGTAAAAAGCATTTTTTGTCCAAATAGAATTGTTTTCCATTGACCATGAAAAATGTTTCCTATTAACTTTCGTTTTGTACTAAAATATTAAAAAGAAAAATGCTAGGGATCTGTTGACACCATATTTTATTTTTTTTTTGTCAATTGTAACTTATCAAGGTAAATCAAATCTGATTTTATTAATGATGACCTATCAATTATAATCTATCGATTAAGACTATGCACCATATTTTAAAAGTGACTATGGCCGCATCTATTATTATTATTTTTCGTTTGGTGCAAGATCATGGTAGACTATGCACCATATTTTAAAAGTGACTATGGCCGCATCTATTATTATTAGTTTTCGTTTGGCGCAAGATCACGGTACAAAGGAAGTGGAGGCAACATGGATGTATGGCAACAACGTGCTATAATAGTGGAGCAATTTGCGGCAACGTTGTTTAGCAGGGGTTTGTGGCAACGTTAAGCCTATAAATAGGCTAAAGGAGGAATAAGTGGGAAATCAACAAATTATCAACACGTAACGTGGGTTAGAATAGATCTATGGGAATAGTTTATTATCATAGGAGTAGTTTTAATTTAGTGATTCTGTAATGATTTTTCGTTTGTAATCAATAATTTTTTTTTTGATTTTTTATATTTTTGTTTTTATTTAAATCTTTGCAATAAGTAATAATTTTAGCAATATAATATTATTTTTAGTTTGTTTCTCTTTGTCAATAACTTTTAAAGAAGTTCTTAAATCTAGTAAGGCATAGGATACAAATCACAATTGCTTGATCGGTTTATTGTTTGTAAAATTAATTTTTCTGGATTCAACCCTGTCGATTTGGCCCAATTCAGATTTTTGCTAACAGGACCCCTTAGGCAGTATTTCGTAACGTTTACGTTTTCAGTTTATATTTACAAAAAATTTATAAATTGATTTTTGTTTATTTTTAGAAAAACATAAACTACAAACGCGTTTGGTAATTGACAAAATATTTTAAAAAATTTAAAAATATAAAAAAGAGTGAGAAATGACAAATGGTGGCAAGTGGCGGTGGAAGACGGTGGTGGAAAGTGGTAACGGTGGGTGGGTGGGTGACGGTGGTGGGTGGTGGTGGTGGTGGTGGTGGCGGATGGCGGGTGATGGTGGCAGGTGGGTGGCGGGTAGATGACGGGTGGTGGTGGTGGTGGGTGAGTGCGTGACGGTGGCAGATGGTGGGTGGTAGCGAGTAGGTGGTGGTGGTGAGTGGTTGGTAGTGGTGGCAGGTGGGTGGCTGATGGTGGGTGGTGGCAGGTAGGTGGTGGGTGGGTGGGTGACGGTGGCGGGTGATGGGTGGTAGCGAGTGGGTGGTGGGGGTGGGGGGGGGGGGGGCGGCGGGAGGGCGGGGTCGAGGGGCAGTGCCCCCGAAGCAAAATGCAAAAATGCATTCCAAGTTGCCTGTCCGCTCGAGCGGAGAATGCTGGGTT